CATTTCCTCATCAGACTTCTTTCAGTAGGATTCGAACCGACGATCCCACTGACTCTGCCAGTTGCCTATACACCGTGCTAAGTACGCCTTGTAAAAAAAATAACAAAACAAATTTATTATTTTACATTATTTGGATAAAGAAAAGTTAAGCAAATTCAACGNTACAGCACGACAAATGAATATATACACAAACAAAAGTTCGGTTATGGTTAAAACAATTCAAGTTTTTGTATTGAATTTTCGGTTTAGAATTTATTTTTTTTCTTTTTCAGTAGGGGTTTTTGCACATTATCTTTTCCGTGAGAATTTATCGTAATAGATACGGATCTGAATAAGCGACTGGAACACGGCTGTTTGNGAATTTTGGGTTTAAAATTAGTTTTTTCCTTTTCAGTAGGGTTTTTGCACTTTATCTCCTGCATGAGAATTGATCGTAATAGATACGGATCTGAATAAGTGACTGGAACACGGCTGTTTGTCAAAAGCATACGATTTCGAACTCGCGTAAATGTACATTTGCTAAATGCGATAGCATGACCGCTCTTCGAAAACACATGTTCGAAAGTGCTAAATGTTGCATTTTAAATGCAGCAAAAACGCTGCATAGCACGAATTCGCTACCCTGGCGATAACTAGTCGATAACAGCTGATTGTTATGTGACGAAAACGTAACAAATGTTAATTCTCTAACACGAATACGACTTCAAATAAAGAAAAAAAATTGTCAAATTCAAACGAAAGAGTTTTTGCTATCGTGTGAGCCGCTAAAATAGATAATTCAATTTTCCAAATGAAGGAATCATGGTTAGCACCAGGATGTGCTGCGTCAACAAATGTAATTACCATATCGCCGTCTCNTAATTCTCTAACACGAATACGACTTCAAATAAAGAAAAAAAATTGTCAAATTCAAACGAAAGAGTTTTTGCTATCGTGTGAGCCGCTAAAATAGATAATTCAATTTTCCAAATGAAGGAATCATGGTTAGCACCAGGATGTGCTGCGTCAACAAATGTAATTACCATATCGCCGTCTCATATCTGAAATCAGAATTGTATTGAAATAGTGGCATTAAAAAGGCTATAAGGGTTTTGTACTTACTGCCATTACATTGATGCTATAAAACCCCTTTCTATTGTAGTAAAGATATCTGCAATTTGCATTGGGTGCTTTTATACGCACAAGAGTCCCGTCCACACAGCCAACTATGCCAGGTATTCCACATTTGTTGAAGAATTGCTCTTTCACGTCGTTTTCTTTTTCCTCGTTCCTGACATGCTTACCCATTTGTGGCAAAAATGCTCCTCAAAAATGTTCAAGCATTCCGTTTTACTTTTGCAACTGTCGGCTGACCCATTACTGAGACACTTTCGTTACCCACCGACTTTTGATAGCTTCCAGTTGCAAGAAAGCGTAGAAATGTGGACAGTNATCTGCAATTTGCATTGGGTGCTTTTATACGCACAAGAGTCCCGTCCACACAGCCAACTATGCCAGGTATTCCACATTTGTTGAAGAATTGCTCTTTCACGTCGTTTTCTTTTTCCTCGTTCCTGACATGCTTACCCATTTGTGGCAAAAATGCTCCTCAAAAATGTTCAAGCATTCCGTTTTACTTTTGCAACTGTCGGCTGACCCATTACTGAGACACTTTCGTTACCCACCGACTTTTGATAGCTTCGAGTTGCAAGAAAGCGTAGAAAAGTGGACAGTTTAAGTTGTGGTGGCAAATGAGTATTGCGGTCTTTCATATGGATGCTCACTTCACTGAAAATTTTCTTTGCTGACTCGAAAGTTTTTAACAAACCTAAAATAAAATATGTATGTTAGTGGTTAATATACACATACAAATGTGCGATATTTGGGTGCAAGCCAGAGCCGACCACTTTACTTGGGTCCCATTTCGTCCCCACATACCACTACAACTGTCTGGAATGCTAGAAATGCAAGTCTACTTACTCGGCGTCTGGCATTTAAATATTCTATTAAAATATTGTATTTTTGAACTTTTATACACACAAAGTAAACAAAACAATTTTGACAGATCTGTTCGTTCGAGATAGGGAATCAGGCTGGTAAGTCCCGATTTTCAGTGTTTTCTCTATTTATTTAATAAGAATCTCCCTGTACTCTGGCCCAAAAAAATAACTTAAATTTTTATATTATAATTGAATAAGGTTTTTTTTTGCTTAAAAATCACTTTTACAATTATTTGTTCTGTTTTTTTGTTTTTGTCTTTTAATGAAACGATTCTAACTTGAATTTAGTGAAGGTATTAAAAAAATTAATACCTTCAAAAAAATCATAGATATGAAAAATAGAATTTGTAGATTCAGTGGCGAAAATATAAATTGGGAAGACATTTTACTGTTCTTTGGCGGTTATTTAATGTTTATTATTTTTTTATAAAAGTCTAGCTCGTTATCTAATAAAGACCATGCACGTCCAAGCTTCAAACTTAGCACAAAAAGTAAAAAAATTCGACAAAATTTTATGAAAATATTCTGAGTATGCAGTTTTGTAAACCATTCAATTCAAAGTGCAAATTGTTGAATATTTTTATCTACACATTGCGTTACCTATCCCACTGTATTGTACCAGCAACAGTTATGCACAAGTTTTCTCTCTTTCCATAAGAATATGTATGTACATATGTATGTAGGTATCATAGTTTTATTCTTCTTAAATAAAGTTAGTTGTACTTGAACATTCGAGCGGTCTGGTTTTTCTTTTAATGAGTGCAATAGGTTATGGGCCCAGACTCGCTATAAGTACAGTCTCAAACAAAAAAAGCAAGCCTGGCGTAATCGGTAATAATTTATTTTAATCGAAATTTTTGGCAATTAATTTTTCGGGCGCAATATGGACGCAGAATATACTAAAGTAGAAAAACTGCAGAATGCCGATCAGTGGAATATGTGGCGGTTTCAAATTAAGGTGCTCTTAAATGCTGGAGAACTGCTAAAGTATATTCAAGAAGATGCTGCTGACACTTCTGGTGCATCGGTTGCTGCTGGCACTTCACAGGAATCGAAGGCCGATGTTGCGGGAGGAGCTGCTGCAGGTGCAGCGGGAAGTGATGCTAACGGCCCTGTTGGTGTTAATTTGCTGACACAGAGAATGCAGAGGGAAGAATTTAGTCGAGGTGATAGTAAAGCTCAGAAGATAATTGTAATGACTCTTGGCCAGCAACCAATGATGCATATTTTGAACTGTAAACTGCACGTGATATGTGGAAGAAATTGGAAAGCGTGTACGAGTTCAAATCAAGCGCCAATATTCATATGTTGCAACAAAAGTTTTATAGTTTTCAAAAGGATCCCAAAGATGATATTGCAATGCACATTTCTAAGCTGGAGTCATTGGTTACTCAATTGAGTGATGCTGGTGAAAAGGATTCGACGTCAATGGTAATAACGAAAATTCTTATGACTCTACCCCCCAGTTTTGCACACTTCTACAGTGCTTGGGAGTCAACTGATGCAAGACAACAAACGTTGGAGAATTTAACTAGCAGACTTGTCATGGAAGAAGCAAGAATTACGATTTCTGACCAGCGTGCAGCCACTGGAGATGCATTTGTTGCTAAACAGAATATTTCATCCAACATGCGGTACAAGAAAAATCTAAAGCCAGGAAAATGTTTCGCATGCAAAAAATCTGGCCACTGGAAACGCGATTGCCCTTCAAAGTTAAATAAAGGTCGAGACTCAACGAATGAAAAGAAAAGAAATGAGAAGAGAGGTAATGCTTTTTTATGTGAGGCAGAGGTGGCTAGTAATATTGGTAAGGAGCAGGAATGGTTCGTCGACTCGGGCGCAAGTGACCACATGACGAACAAGCAAGAGTGGTTCACCACGTATGAAAAATTTACAGTTCCTATGACGATACGACTGGGAAATGGAGACACGATATGCGCGTACGGCCGTGGTGCTATTAACATTTCTACGTACAACAACGATAATTGGGAGGAAAATCATTTGCCATCAGACTCTTTGTACCGAAACTGAAGTTGAATTTGTTCTCGGCAAGCAGTGCTCTTGATAAAGGTTTGCAAATGAAATCTGATTTTAGACGATGTGAATTTTTAAAGAATGACAGTACTGTGTTAGTGGGAGTTCGCCAAGAGAAACTTTTCAAGCTTCTAATAAAAGTAATTTTACCCATATCGCCGAGAAATTTTGCCTACTCTGCAACAACAAAAGTATTGCCGATTAGCGAATGGCATTGTGGAATGGCTCATCAAAATATAGCGCACTGCAAACAGTTTTTACGACAAAATGACATTCCGTTTATTGATAGCGAGAATTTTTTTTGTGAAGCCTGCATATTCGGGAAGCATCATCGATCATCCTTTCAAACTAGTCAGAGTTATACATCAGATGTAGCAGATCTTGTTCACACAGATGTGTGTGGTCCCATGCAAAAAGCATCAATCGGCGGAGCAAAATATTTTCTCTTACATTACAGAACCGTGTTTTTCATGAAAGAAAAGAGTGAAGTATGTGGCTTGTTGACTAAGTATATTCAAAGTGTTCAAATTGCAACATACCGAAAGGTTAATACTATTCGCTCAGATAATGGTCTGGAATTTGTGAATAAACAAGTTGAAGAGCTGCTCCAGAAAAATGGCATTGCTCATCAGAAAACCGTGCCCTATAATCCAGAGCAAAACGGTTCCGCTGAGAGGGATATGAGAACTATAGTCGAATTAGCTAGGACTATGTTGCACGCCAAAAACCTAGATGTGAAATATTGGGCAGAAGCAGTGAACACAGTTGTTTATGTTCTCAACAGGACAAGCTTTAGTCCGCAAAAAGGAGAAACGCCATTTCGATTGTGGTTTGGAAAAAAGGCTAATATTGACATGTTGCAAATTTTTGGTTCCACCGCTTACGTTTATATTCCAAAGCAAAAGAGGCTTAAATGGGATAGTAAACCCCAAAAGGGAATATTCGTCGGCTACGTTGAGGGAGTTAAGGGGTGGCGGGTTTATATAAACGAAAAAAGGAAAGTAGAAATTGATGTAGTTTTCAGTGAGAAAGATGATGATATCGCTAAAACATCAGATGACTCATATGCCATGATTCCCGCAGACTCATCAACGCAAGTGGTACCAGCTAGTCCAAATGCTAGTGGTGACGTGTCAACGCAAACGACCGAGGAAGTGATAGCAGATATTTCTACTGATATCACTGATGACGAGGTTTTACTGGAAGAGGCAGAACATCTTCAAGTGGAAGTATGTGACGCGGAGCCTGCGAATCAAGATGCACAGACAGCAAATGGAAGTTTTATTAGCAGCAGACTTCGTAGTAGAAACAAAAACACACAGTCATCTACGTCAGTGAATGCCGAAGCTGAGGAAAGTAAGAGGCAACAAACGTCGTTGAATGTAGCAGTGGTTGAAAGTCATGCGTATGTCATGAGGTGTGGTGTTCCTCTTAACTACTTAGAAGCAACAACCTGTGAACAAGCCGCAATGTGGAGAAGTGCTATGGACGATGAGATGGAGTCATTGAGGAAGAATAACACTTGGCGTTTAGTTGATCTTCCGAAGGGTTGCAATGCAGTTTCTACGAAGTGGGTATATCAGCTTAAAGGAGCAACTGAAAACGAAGGTAAACGATACAAAGCGAGATTAGTTGCTCGCGGTTTTAGTCAACAATATGGCATTGATTATGTTGAGACCTTTAGTCCAACTGCAAAGTTTACATCCATAAGAGCTATTTTGAGCATTGCGGCATCAGAGAATCTGGAAATTAAGCAATTTGACGTTAAAACAGCTTTTTTGAATGGAACGATCAAAGAGAGCATATACGTCAAGCAGCCTGAGGGATACTCTGACAACTCGTCCAAGGTTTGCAAGTTATTAAAGAGTCTATACGGCTTAAAGCAAGCATCCCGTTGCTGGAATCACACCTTTTCTAAACTATTAACCGAGTTTGATCAGCAAGCAAGTGGAGCAGATCATTGCGTTTTTGTTAATAAAAGAGCTGGAAAGAGGTTGCTTTTGGCCATATATATCGATGATGGGTTAGTAGCCGCAAGTGATCACAAAGATATTGACAAGCTGTTGCTGTTTTTGAAGCAGAATTTCGATATCAAGGTTTTCGAGGCAAGACACTTCCTGGGGTTGGAAATTCGGCAAGCAGTTGGTAGCCTGATTTATCTCATGTTAGCTACGCGGCCAGACATCGCATTCGCAGTCAGCTATGTAAGTCGTTATCTGGATAAACCATTGTCTGCTCATATAAATATGGTAAAACGGATACTAAAATATCTTCGGGGCACAAAAGGGTATGGTATTTACTTCTCAAATGAAAACATTTCTCTTCTAAATTGTTTTAGTGATGCTGACTATGCTGGGGACATAAACACGAGACGATCAACTAGTGGTTTTGTTGTTATATTGGGCT